TCTGTAGGTTCTGTTGGAGTTTCTGCATCTCTTGACTTCAATGCTCTTGCTCTCAAAGACCTAAATGTTAGAGCACCAGGTTTTACAAAGGACTTTATAAATGCTTTAATAGTTCCTGGTAAGTTATTGTTAGCATTAAGTAAGTTCCTTATGCTTCCATCATGTACGTCCATAGCACTATGTAAAAAATCTATACTTTTCTTGTAGTCAGCAATAGACTGACTGTGATTTTTTAAAGATTTGTCAATACCTTTAAGCCAATCTTCATGCATGTCTGATACTGAGCCAAGAATATCATTTGCTTCCTTTAGTGTATTTTGTGCTTCTCGTAAAGTATCCAATCCCCTACGTGCATTGTTTGCTATACGTCTTACAGTATCTATTTGACTCCTTGTTTCTTGCATCCAACCAGATAAAGTTTTAATAGTATCCGAACCATTTGAAATGAAGTTCAAAGCATTTTTAACGTCATCTAAAACTTCTTCACCAAGTACTGCCCATATCTTTCCGATTTGGTATTGAAGAACTCCATATGAAGCAGCTGTTAAACCAGTATTTATAAGGTTCCATATCCATGATTTAGCAGTTTTTCCATCCTTTCCATCTTCACCATCCAAACCGTTCTCGCCTTGAGGTCCTTGTAGTCCTTGTATTCCTTGTATTCCTTGTGGTCCTTGAGGTCCGGTGTCACCCTTCTCTCCTTTCAGTTCATCTTTATGTTCGTTATAATATTCTAATGTCATAAGGTGTACATCATTACTGTTACCAGCAACGCCGAGAATTTGTTTCTCATTCATGACTAAATTCTTTAGGCATTTAATGTTGTCGTCAAATCGAAAGCTCTTTAACAATTCAATGAGAACATTTAATACTTTCACTAATGAGGCATCTACTGTAGAATTTATATATTGCACCGTTCCATCATTTATGATGGGAACCTTGCTTGTTGTAATGAATGGGTCATAAGTGTTAAAAGTATCGAAATCAATGACTTTTTTAGTTTTTCCATCGTCAATGACTAAATCATTGCCTTCAATGGTTAAAGTTGAGTTTTCATTTACTAGTTCATGTGCTCTTCTTGCTTCATTTGTTTCATACGCATATGCAGCAATAGTCATATTTTAATGAGAATAAAATGTTGTTCTATTTGCAAAGTACAGACCCAAACGAATACGGGACAGTAAAGCTACAAACAAACTTAGGTCTTCAGAATGAAGCGCTTGCTTTCAGAGTTGTTGACTTCAATACTATCGCAACTTTTGTCATAACAGATGAAACAGATTTCATGGAGCTTGAAATAGATGGAAAGAAGCACGAAATAAGATTTCGCAATAATGTAGAATATAAGATGGAAACATTAGCTGGAGTGTTAAATGCTCTCATAAATACTACAATAAACAAGGATAACGAAGAAAACTTAATGAATGTTAAACTTATTGCAGGAGTTTTGAAGTTCAGTTATGTGAAGGAGTTTAAGATAATACGAATGAGTCATAGAGTTCAATTGCTTCTGGGAGCATACCATATGTCATTTCCTTTGAAAAGTGTTGACAAAAAGATTGAGATGAAATCTGTTCCATATGTATGTTATGGCAATTGTTTGTACATTGAGTCAAAAATAGCTAATGTCACAGGTATTTCAGGAGTTAATAGTAAAGGTTCAGTAGAATATAAGTCTTTCTGTTATGCAGTCAATTCAATGTTCATTCCAAACGTTCCTGTCATAGCAACTCATTTAGGTAAATGGGTTCGCATTAGTCCTCATAATTTGAAAGACATGCAATTCAGACTTGTTGACTTTCAAGGAGAGCCTGTAGAACTGAAGGCACCAGTGCGAATGACTGTTGAAGTTGACTTTTTAGAAAATATTAAATGCAACAGCTTACAAGAGAACTCAGAGCTAAAAATATAAAGTATGAATGTTATGTATTAGGTCATGAACTTTGGTTGTTGCTGTTTGATGAAACAAATGAGTTAGTTATGTCAGTCAAGAGAACAGAAAAATATTGTGTTAGTGAAAACTGCACCAAGTCAATAAGATTAGGTTTGCATTATGAAGATGAGTTCGATACTGTTGAAGAAGTTTTGGATAGATATTACAAATTGCTAACTTGAAATTTTTTTGACTGACGGCGCAAAGCGCCAAGATGGGCTCAAAGAGCCCTCCTGACTGCTTTAATTTACTAAAACATATTTCAAACAAAGTTTATATTCTGTTGAAAGTTTTGTATATTCATTCGAATATTTATACTTAAACTCAACTCCTGTAGTTCCTGGTGTTTCAATGATGCGAATGTTACCTATTTTCATGAATAGTGGAGTTTGACCACAGCATTCGATTTCAGGGTCGAGATAGTCAATGACACATTGTTTCCCTGTTATTCGTGAGATAACATTTTCAAGGTCCTCCTTTGTTAGAATTATTTGGTTCTTGCTTATAAGATTTGTCAAAAGCTTCTTATCGTCTTTGAGTAAAATTGTTTGGTATAACTGAAGAAGGTAATGGTCTACGTTATCTGAAGGATTTGTTTGAACATTTGTGTAAGGGTTGTCGTTGGCTTCTCTTGAAAGAATTTGGTCTAATGGTGGATACTCTAACTTAACATCTGATGTAGCGTTAGCGTTTGAAGCTGAGTTTAAATTCACCGACTTAAGTTCTGGTTCTTTTTCTTTCAAACACTCTGAACTATAGTTCTTTATAACAATATTGTTTGTCGTTCGTGTGTCAACATTTGATGTTGGTTCAATTGGAACATTAACGGCACCAGCTAAGATGGATTTGCTTCTCATTTCATATAGAATAAAAACCTTTTATATGTATGAAATGAACAATATACTCGACAAGGGTTTGAATGTAAAGCTAACGAATGAAAATATTGTTGAATTCACTGAGACAGGTGCTGTGTATAAAGATGTAGAACTACTGAACAAAAGAGCTAAGGGAAGAAGCAGGAACATGAACAAAGGGTGGAAGCCTATAAAAATTTATGTCAATGATGGCTCAGGAGGTTCAAACATAAAGTATGCAGAAAGTTATAGAGTTTATGCTCTCAAAGGTGAAAAGCCTTCATTTAAGAACAGCTATTCTAACGCATATCCTCAAAAGCTAACGGATGGGGAAGTGGATGATATGAATGACAGCAAAAATATTAACAGAAATGGCGACAGAGATGCATGGAATTTGTTTACCATCAGTCAATTGAAGGTTAAACTTTAAAATAATGTTGGTCGTTCCCATGGAATATTTTTGACTTTAATGGTATTAGTCATGATATGAATCTCAAGGTATGAACGAGGAGAGATGAGAGACTTATATGCTTCCCAAATTTCTTCAAAAGGTAATGTTATACCTGACTGTTTCCAAATGAGTTCAATATCATAGCGTGAGAAACCTTGAAAGATAACGAAGTCAGTTATGAGACGTTTTATGTTTAAAGCTAAAAACCTCCATGTTTGCATAAGTATTGCTACAGTTAAATGGTAATGTCTGACTTTAGTTATGATGTTAGCTAATGGTGAGTCAGGCTTTGAAACTAAACCTTTTCCGGCGAAGTCGTCACAAACTAATAAAGTGTTTGATGGATATTTTTTTGAAGGGGTATTTTGAAAGTTTTGACAGAATGTAGTTTGTAAGTCGTTTCATATCGTATACTCCTGAGTATTGACGTAAGTGGTGTTTGTCAATAATTCTTTCCATCTCCTCAGAAGTCTTTTGCATTCCTGACTGTATAAATTCAACGATGGCATAATATTTCCTCTTACGTCGAATGTAACGTTGAAGAAATTCAATGAGTTCACTGTCTGGAACTTTAACGACAGAGGCTTGAACTTTTGACATAAATGTTTTCGCTGTTGAGTCCATAGAGTCTGAAGTTGCTGATATAATGATTTGGTCATAATATGAGTCATTTCCTAAACGTTCTGTTATGAGTATATGACGAATGAGGTTAAATGTCTTACCTGAACCCATCTTTCCACAATAGAAATACACACCATTTGAACAGAATTCATAATCTTTACTGAAAGGAAGAATGAGAGAACTGTTGAGCTTTTCACTGCTTTCATTCATGTCTTCATCTACATCATGTATTAAATGCTTCATTTTATCTCCATTAAAAATGCAAGTCAGAAATATTCAGAACATAGCACCGAGTCTAACTGACAAGAGTATAAAGATATACTATGAACATGTTATGATGAAACCAACCAAAATTCAAGAAAGTCAGTATACTTATGAATATCCAAGACACTGGGTAGAGTATGTAGGAGGTGAGAAAGCTATTGAAATCAGACAGGTTCGAAGTATTCCAGCAGGAAGAACAATATTATTGAAGAACTTTAATGTTTTGAGGTATAATGATGAAACAAAGAAGCAAGATAGTTTTCCTGTTGCTGTGTATGTGAACCTAGACACAGGAGATGACATGAAAGTTTTTAACACAAAGCTTCAAACGGTAGTGAGAGAACAACTGACTGCGGAAGGACATCCATTACCTTCAGAAGTTACCATAGCATATAATTTTGAAACAAACTCAATAGATTTTAAAGTCGTCTCTGCAAAGAAGTCAGGATTTACATTTAATGAAGCAGATGTATATTCGAATGAAAACTTCAAAGCTATTGCATGGTTAGATAATGACGATTGCTTTAAGAAAATATTTAAATTCAGTGACTCAAAGATGTCAATAGATGACCTTCGTGGAATGTTACCATCGACGTTTACAGTTGAAGGTTCAGCAGGATTGCTTACAAGATTGTCAATTGGTGGTATTTGGTCTCGTGAGAACATTGTTATAAAATCCAGTATAAGTGAATTTGCTGAAGAATCTATATTATGTCTTTCAAACTATATGTATTCACCGCCGAAGCATTATAGTATAACAAACTTTGTCAGTAAGTTTAACATAAGACTTGTCGAACCTTCTTCAATGAAAGATGTTGTGCTACCTAAAGATGGAAAGGATGGACTCATTATTGAGATGATTTTAATAGCATATTAAATGAGCTTGTTCTTGAAGGTCATTCATGATGAAATAACTGTTGTAGAAGATGTTAGCAATTGTTCAGACATTTTGAAGCGTATAGATGATATAAGAAAGAAGTTAGATAGACCGCAAAGCGGTGAGGGCGAAGCCCGTGAGAACGCTTATGTTTCATTGACTTTCTCCAGTAACGAGAACTTTTATGAGATAATATTGAAGAGAGATGATTTTAATATGGTGTAAATGGTAGCTTGGCAGCTTTAGGCGCAATGGGAACAAAAGCATTAGCATTTGGAGCAAAAGCACTTGGAGCTTATGACGCAGTAAATAAAATGAGTGGAGGAAAGGTTTCGAAGACATTAGATGCAAATAAAGGAAAGATTGGAGGCTGGGTTGCAAAGAAGTTAAGATTAAATAAAATAGGGCTCATAAATAAAGCATCCAATTTGGTTGCGACTGAGTCAGAAAATGCTTTAGGAAAGGACGATGAGTTTGCAAAACACGCAAAAGACTTTAATGACCAGATGAAAGGTGAAACAATGCATTTAAATAGAGTCGATGGAACTAAAGAAAATGTTTCTTCTCCACCAGCGGTTTATCCATACGGACCTTATGGAATGTATGGAAACCCTTACGAAAGACCATTTGACCCATTGACTGGTGGAAGTAACTGGTATCATTACGGCCGAAGAAGAAAGACAGTCAAGCTGGAGACAGACGTGAAGAAAGCAACTAAAAAGAAACCAAGGAAGAGAGTTATAAAGCAATGAATTCAACAGGGTGAAAAAAGAGGTGAAAAAAGAGGTTAGATCTCACCACTTCACCTAAATTTATTTTTGTGCTATGTTTTCATACGTGTGAGGGTGGTGATATCATTAATTTTTATATAAATGACGAAAACTATTGAGATAACAAACTACAACGGTCATGAGTTCAAGAATTTGTTCTTCATTCCTCGTGAAAATACATTCTATCAGATACGAGGGAGAAAGGGTAAAGTTAGTTTGAGCGTTTATGACAACAAACATAATGGGAGATATATAAAAGCAATAGATACAAACGGTAAGCGTGTTTCATTAGCTTTGTCAAAACTTACTAACATTTATTTTGACAGTGACTTTGACTCTGACGATTGGAGTGACAGCAGCGATACTGAAGAATATGAACTATTGTGTGAAGCACAGCAATGGGAAGCGCTGCAATACTTTTGTAAATGAGAACATTAGTGGGAACGTTAGTGAGAACGTTTATTTTTTCATTAGTGAAGTCATTAGCGAAAATGTTAGTGAAGTGAAGTGGTTGGCGGCTTTGTAAATATTTAAGGTTAAGTTAGTGTTGTGTTTGTGTTGTAAAATATACGTTAGCGGTTTTGTAAAGTGTCAAATTCACATATAATGGGTAAGGAGGCGCGCAGTGCCTCCGTACCCATGATATGTATACTAACTGATGCAGTTGCACTCTCTACCTGGTCCTCTAAAGACCAAAAAGGTCCTGTTGATGAAAATGGAGAAGAAATCAAATACTTATTCATATTTCTTGGTATGCCCCTAAATTTTGATGCGCCAAATGTTATATTGCATGTTATAGAACATGCCAATGGGTTTGCAAGTGGAATTATCCATGAAATTGATGCAGCAATCGAAGAAATACGAAAGCACTTAAGAGTTAGAGTCATCATTACTGATGGAGATCCCGGATATGATAAGCATCAAGATGAATTTATTAATGAAATTTTGCAAGGTAATGATCCCGAAGAAATATTTAAAAGAGCTACTGCTATCTTAAAGAAAGGAGATCAAGTTGTATGGATTAATGATCTCATACATATGTCAAAACTTGAACGTACCAGATTACTCGATGCAACACTTAAGCTTTTAGTTCATCCATCTGATCTGAATACAATTGTTGATGTTAACAAGATCAGAGATGCAATCGAATTAGGTGATGCTCTTAATGATACTTCACCTCTGGGAAGGATAAAAGATAAATATCCGATCACAATATTTTCAATTAGAGCTGTAAAGGCGCTTCTAGAAAAAAACTATTATAATGAAGCATTATTCATAGCTCCACTTGCATTCTGGTATGAAAGCATACGAAATGAGGCATTTAATGCTGACACAAGATGTCAAATGATGTGGTTTGCATATCTGCTCTTGGGACATCATTGCATTCAAATGAGAGACCGTCACATTAAGACAAATCTTGGTGTTGTCAAAATAGACGGAAACATTTATCCGGTCTATTATATGGGAACTTGGGAAGTTGTAAAGCATCTTACAACAACAATCATTTGTTTCCAATATTTTTTCAGTATTATTTCAACATTTTTCAATTTTTCTCATTTGACAACCATGACGGAAGAACATTTGAATGGTTTACTTCGCGTCATGGCTCATTTTAAGTATGATTTGTCAACAACCGAAACATCTATTGCAGAATGTAATTTAACACTCAAAATTCATAAAAACTACGATATTGACTGGAAAACCCATTCACGTGACTATCAAGCTGGTATTCCATTTGAAGACATTTACACAATGCGTCAAGATTCACGTCAATATGAAATGTGCAAAGAATATGCATATGCCTTGTTATCCAAATGTGGATTTAGATATAATAGTAATTCCAGCGTTGATGTATTGCTTAGTTGGGTGAATGAAATTAATCAATTTCACTCAAAAATTTTAATGTCAACACATATAGTTAGTATACATATCTTCAGTATGGTGGCACTGCGCGCCATCTTACCCATTATATGTCAATCTGACACTTTACAAAACCACTAACGTATATTTTACATCGCATATGCAATATTTCTAATAACCTTAAACTATTTCTGCCACGTAAAGTATTTATCACATAAACCACCTCATCTCACCTCTCTGTACGTTATATATTGTGCGCAGGTCATTGCCCATGGCAACTCCCCGCGACACAATGCACGTGCATGAAAAAATAAACGTTCTCACTAACGTTCTCACTAACGTTCTCACTTACAAAAGTATTGCAACTCCTCCCATTGCTGTGCTTCACATAACAGCTCATAATCTTCTGACTCACTTTCTTCTTCATATAGGCCAAAGTCGCTGTCATAATTAATGTTAGTAAGTTTTGACAAAGCTAATGAAACACGCTTACCGTTTGTATCTACTGCTTGTATATATCTTCCATAATGCTCTTTATCATAAATGCTTAAACTAACTTTACCCTTTCTCCCTCGTATCTGATAGAATGTATTCTCACGCGGAACGAAGAACAAGTTCTTGAACTCATGACCGTTGTAGTTTGTTATCTCCATAGTTTTCGTCATTGCATCCAAAATAAAAATTTTCAGTAAAAATAAAACTAACGTTAAAAATTTCTCATAACATAAACGTTCTCATTGCTTTATAACTCTCTTCCTTTCTCCAACTCTTCTAACTTCTTCTTAAGTTTAGCAATGTTGTCCTCATGAAGTTTAATCTTCCTTAATATACCTTCTCTATCTAATGGTTGCTTTATCTTTCTAAACTGAACTCTACCATCCTTCATAGTATGAATGTAAAAACCTTCTGGAATAGTTCCTGATTTAATGTATTCTACCAAAAACTTTTGTTTCATTGCTTCAGTGACTTTAGTCGTCATTTTACTCTAAATAAAATGTTCAAATAAAATAAAAATAACGTTATTTTTTCAGTAAGGAAACGCAGGAGTTTTACGATTTATTTGAGGAGTAGGTTCTGGTTTAAATGTTGGAGTCGGTTTAGGAGTTGACTTTTGAACAGGAGTTTGTACTTCCATAGGTTCAGGAGTCATTGAAGGTTTTGCTTGTGAAGGTGTTGGAGTTTGTTTAACTTCAGCTACTTCAGTATTATTTACAACATTTGCTTTATTTCTTTTCAACATCATAACTGCTCCTGCTGTAGCTAGCAAACCTAGTGGGAGACCATATCTTATATAAGGACTTGACCAAATGCTATTTTTGACAGGAGCTGGTGGAACACCTAACCTTGGTGAGACTGCTCTTTGCCATTGTGCAGCTCGTAAGAAATATTCAATAGGTGCTCCATAATCGTTTGGTAAAGTTTGTTTCATAGATGGTGAAGGTTCACGAGAGCTTGATGAAGAACTCATTTATAAGCTTTAAAATAAATGTTCATCCTTTATTCCTCACTGTCGTCCGTAGCTAAGTTATAGTCATCTAATCTTATTATGGGGATGCCATTAGCACGCACCTGAATGGCAAAGCAACAATCCCTCATAAATCCAATAAGTGGCTTTGGTACGTTTTCAGTTGCTAGTTCAATAGGTCCTTTAACAGACAATTTGTATGTTATTGGAGCAGTAGATGTTTGACCTTGCTGGAAGCAAAAGTCCACTTCTGTTGGAAAACCACATAAGAAATGTGTGTTGTCATAGCTATCCCATTTATGTTCCACACTACCATCATCCACCAATGACCTCATAACATCTTCATTAAATCCTATCATATCATTGTTTGTATTGCAAGCGTTCGCAACCATTTCATAAAATACAGGTCCATATGATTTTTCAGGTTCTGCAGGCATATTTCCATAAGCTCCCATGGAAAGCTGAAGATATTTAAACTTAGGGTTCTCAAAATTAACATAATAGTTGTCTTTCTTTCTAAATAGTGCCCAAATACTTTTAACATTAATAGGCGTATAAGCTGCTGTAAATGTTGCACTTGAACTATCTGTATTCTTTGAGAATGAACCGTCCATAGGAATCCAATCCATAACTTTAACAGGAAAACATAAAGCCTCGTTTGTATAATGTTCTACAAGTTCTGTATAAATGTTAGGGTCTAAAGAGAATGACTTTGGATGAATGAAACATTCATTAAAATCCATCTTTGTTCGAAATAGTTGCTGGGTTACAGTTGTAATAGTAACTGTTCCACTAGCTTCTACTGCCTTCGTTATCATAGTGAATGGTTCATTCCATGGAACAAATTTATTTGTCGGTGGATTTGAATCTGAAGCAAATGCAACTTTAAGAGTTGGATTGAAAGCAATGATATCATTTACAGATATAGATGTGCATTGTAAGGCGTCGCTACTGAACTTTACTTTAAGCTGAATGTTTCCTGCAAAAGCTGGAATAAATCGAATAGCTTCTAATGGAAGGAATCTTCTAACAGGAATTCTTAAACGAAGCTTAAAATCAAATGATTTTCCTGCTGTAATTGGACCACTAACAATTTGTCCTGTTCTGCATGTTCCCGAATGACTCCATACATCTTCATGTCGAGTCTTTGAGAAAACATCTACTTTCTTTATTTGTTCGGTAGTTTGTGAGTTTGAAGTTATATATGCTTCTTCTCTTGCGTTGTCTTGAGAATATACGATACGACCATTTGCAAGGATTTGATATCCAGCAACTGCATAGAAAGCGTCATCGAAACCAATCCAAAATCCTGGTGGGTTTGTTTTATTGGAACCTGAACCAATTTCTTTATCTACAATAAATTGACCTTCCATTTTATACGTAATGAATGTATTGTAAAGGTCCAACATATTTTCACCAGGAGGTGAGAGATTGAATGTTACCCATGTGTTATCTTTAGCAGTTCCAGGTTGTGATGGAATCTTTGCGTCAGAATATTTTCTATTAGTGTCACCAATTTGAACTGCATTGTCTATGATATCGAAATATGAGCGAATCTGATGAATATGCTCTGCTGGAGTAAATTCGTTTACTGTTCGTTCTGCATGTATTTACTTCAGATAAAAATATCTATTTACTTCATTATTCTCACTCTTCTTCTTGGCATTCGTGGTGGAAGTTGTTTCTTGACATTTTCAATGAACTGTACATTCTCTTTTGTCTCAACTTCTTTCACTGGCGGGTCAGGATTCTTTGACTCGGTTTGTTTTTCAATGAAATTCACGAACTTTGCAATAAGCTCTTGGTTCGTTATTGAAAGTACATCTGGCTTCTTTTCTTCTGTTCTTTGTGGCTCAGTTTGAACAGAAGGTTTTATATGGGCTTCGTGGACTTCACCCTTGCCATGCACCTTAATGTTGTCGCTTTCTGCATTCGCTAATGGAACCTTTCTTTTTCTTACGTATATTTTACCATCTTTACTCTGACTTACGTAATAGAAAGGATGTTGTATTCCTCTTGCGTCATTTAATATAATAGACTCTCGCTCTGATTTTGACAAGCTCATTTTACATCGGTTAAAGTTTTAATTTTGTTTTTTATCTGCAGTCAAATGACTCAGACAAGCCCTACGGACAAGACCCAAGGGGTCATAGATGTTGAAGCATTGAAGAAAGAAATTCGTGAGCAAATTTTATCCGAACTGAAGGAACAAAAACAAGAACAAAAGCCAGAGAGACCAAAGAGAAAACTTAGTGAAAAACAACTTGCTGCATTAGCTGCTGGAAGACAAAAGAACCCACTGCTGGCGAAGAAAGCTAGAGAAGAAGCTGAAGCAAAAGCTAAAGAAGCTGAAGCAAAGAAAGAGTAAATGGTTTATTTTTATCCGAATTAAATGTATAGACAAATACCTTTATCTGTTGCGTTCAGTAGTGAAAACCCTGACGTCAAAATAAAGGGGAACAGAGTAACGTTTAAGTTTCCAACAGACTGGATTGTGAACATAAATGAAGAGAAGTACATTGGCATAACATCTATGTATATAACACGTGCTTTCAGAAAGGTTGACTTTATACTTCAAGTCGAGATAGAAAATGACGAACAGTCTTTAAGCGCCCAAAACATTCACATATACAAATACTTTAAAGACGATACAACATTGCAACAATGTATGATTTCATTTAATGAGATGTTCGAGAAAAAGTTTAACATTGAAGTACAAACTTTACAGCCTTTACGTGAGTTTCTTGCACAACTGAAAGAAGAAGGTAGTCAGCCACAACTTATAGACTTTCATTATGAATTTAATGAAAATGAAGATGGAACACATGACTGTCAGTTTGTTGTATTCTCACCATTCAATGAAGTCGCTAAAGAGAAAGAAAATCCATTACGTATAAGATTTCAAATCTCTGAACCAAGTGATGATTTCAAGAATGTTTTCAATTATGATGCAATGCTTCCGAGGAAAAATGAATTTTCAAAGATTGTAACACCTGGCATTTGGGATAGAAAGCAAGCTATTTATATTCAAATAAGTAAGGAGTTGAAAATGAGTTCATTGGTCATACAAGAACTTCACCACTTCCTAACCCTAAATACTATAAATTAACTGGCTTCAATCGTGAGTTTTGGATAGACATGTTCTCCACTCATGACCATAACTGCCCAGTGTTCTTACCTCCAGACCATAAGGACTGTCTCTACATTGAAGCACAACTCTTAAACTCTACCATCGCAGTATTGTAAATGACCTCATGGGCTTCGCCCTTGCCGCTAGCGGCTTATTTTTATCACGAATGACCTCATTGCTGACAAAAATAAATGACCTCAGAACTTCTTCTTACGAATAAAGTTTTAGTCGTTATTGAGAAGTTAAACTTTTCAGCAAAGCAAGGTTGACATGACTTACATAAGTCGAATGCAATCTCTTGACCGTCATAAAGTGCTTTGTAAAGTTTCATTAAACTGAACTCAGAGTCTTTGTCATATGTTCCAACAGGTATGTGAATGTTCTTATCTTCATTGTAATAGCATTGTATAGCTTCAGGAAACATTTCATTTGCTGTTAAAGCAAGACGTCTTGTTTACACCTTTACAACGTGCATGAAATGCAACTTCATTTAAATCGTTAGTGAGTAAGTCTATGTAGGTCTTCTTTCCACAAAATATTGACTTGTATGCTAAACTTTGTTTTCCAGGTGTTATTTCTGCGAAGTCAGAATGAAATTGACCAAGGTTTTTCCTATAAGTTCGCGACCGTATCTCTTCTTAAACTCTGCTGCAAGCTTTGGTATGTCTTCATTGAAAATATGCATGCTATCACAGTCCTGGTAAAATATTTGAAGTCCCATATCTTCAGCAGTACAGAATACTTCACACATTATTCTCTTCGACATAGACAGAATGTTAACACCAAGTGGACAGAAGTTAAAGTGTCTGCAAATGCTTTTCGTTAGCTTGAAAATAGTTTTATCTGAACCATCCAAACCTTCGAACTTCACTATATGGTTGTAGTTTCTGATGGCATATCTTATAGCATCTTTGTCATTTACTATGGTTATTTTTGACTCAATAGGAGATAGAATAGTTTTGCCATAAATACTGTTCAGAATGAGCTTTATATTTTCTTGCAAAGGATTTCCTTCTTTCTTATACTTTAACCTTAACTCAAACAACTTCTTTACTTCATCTCTTATTCTAATATCTCTGTTTCCATCGTAATAGTATCCTTGCAACACTTCACATTTGACACCTTGATATTTTATGAGGTCTTGTAATGTTATATGGTCAACATACATTAAACAGCAAGTGTTTGAACTTCTGGGAACGTTAAGTTCTGGATTTAGTTCAGGGTCACAAACTATTAAAGGAAAGTGTCTATGTATTCCAATCTCTGTTATCTTAATGAGAACAAAGAAGCCAGACATAAACTTTTCACCAATGGGTTCCTTTTGGTCGTCATCGAATAAATGTCTCATGAGATACTCTGTGCTTAACATTTCTTTCTTCATAACCTTTGGAATACCTTCTAAAGTATAAAGTCTTGCTATAGCTGATGGATATAATGAAACAGCGTCGAAGTCAGCAATGAGTTTCTTTTCGCTCTTTTGTTTCATGTTATCTGACAGCATACATCTTCCACCTTGAATACAGCGTGAAATAAATTCTCTTGGTTTATTTGAGAGGTCATATAAATTTCCATTCGGGAAGTACACTCTGTTCTCAAATAATTTGTTAGCAATTGAACAAATACTAACGTAGTCATAAACGTTTAAATCAAATTCTTTCAATATGTCATTGCGGAACTTAACAAAACCTTCTCTTAAAATTCTTACATCTTGTTTGCAATAAAATGTGCTATATTTTTCTAAGTCGAAGTGGTTCTCATCTATTCTGCAACCTTTGATGGAATCTATGTTTTTCATGAATGTATCTGCATCCCGGATAAACTTACATGCTTCAGAAATGACACCAGTTCTGTTGTCATTTGCTAACAAAACACTGCTGTAGTAGTTGTATGGAAATACTTCTTTCGGTCCTGTTTGTAAGTTAAACATAGCAGGAAATAGTTTAAGCTTCTTATTTATAACACTGTAAGAGTCTTTTATAATAATTGCCCTTCCTTTATATAAGCCAGTTATTTGCATTGTTCGTGAACCTTTAATGATGGGAGTTCCTTTCACTTCTGTCATGTGTCTTAAGATGAAGTTTATATCATAACTGAGGTTATGGAAATATATTAAACTCTTGTCAGGAAGTCGTTCCAAAAATTCTGTTGCACAGTTCTGACCCCAAATGCTTTCACTCACTGAACCATCTTCACTGTCATAACAGATGTTAAAAGCTTTATGAAAGCCGTCTGTGCTACACTCAAAGTCAGCAAAGAAAACGTGCTCAGGAATGAACTTACTTAGCTTTATTTACTTCTTTTGACTCTGCTTTCTTCTTCAGTTGTACACAATACTTTGGAGCATATGTCAAATCTTTAAATGGTGCAAGGTTCTGTTTATATAAGTCAGTCGTATATGTGAAAAGTTCTCCATAAGAAATAGGTTCGAAATATTTGCACTCCCACAATGTTTTCATAACATCCCATAACGGTGTTGTTCTATCATAACGAACTACATATTTGTTCTCTCTCTTTGTATAAATCTTCATCTGTTTCTCAATGTTCATTCCACCACACTCCTTCAAGATTTCTCTGTAATTTCTGATGAAGTATGTTGTCATTGGTAATCTTTCATTTAGCATGTAGTGGTCTTCAACAAGAAGTAAGTCAATAGTTCGAGCAGTTTCACATTCTTTTGGTATGTAGTGAATTATTCTGTTATCTTTGGAGTTGTCGAAAATAACCAATGGTAACATTAAATGCTATACCTGTTGCGTCAGAATTTCTTGTACTTTACTTTGAGGAAAGTCTCTAACACGAATGACTTCTCTCATGTGGTCAATAGTTTCTTCATTTACTCCAGCCTGAATGCAAGCATAAACGAAGCAGTTATCTTCTGTCATAAGTGCTGCAGTTCTTTTGTTCAGTTCATTGAAGATTTGGTAGCGCTCAAGATTTATAGGTAATGTGCAAAGATACTTCCAGAACTGACCGCTTCTCTTCTTATAAAACTTCTTTTCACCATTATCTTTCCAAAAGCTTTCTATAAGTGCTGGGTTTCCTGTTTGCTTAAGAGCTTCCAAAATAGCTTTCTGGTCATTTGTCAGTGTGCTTTCATCTCTTATGGTCTCTTTTTTGGTTTGCCTTCTTTACATCTGACATCGTTAAGCCTTCATATTCTGTTAAATTACATCTTTATTTCGGTAAGATTCTTTATGTTTGTCAAGAAGAAGTCATAGTGCATTTCAACAATACCTGCAGCATTTGCTTCTATCTCTGATATAAAGTTCTCCTTCAAGAGCTGATGTAGTAATGTTCCAATATTATTGAGGTTTAACGTAGAACATTCATACTTTCCACCAAGTTTATAACATACCATCCATCTCTGTTGTGAGTTTATTTTAATCTTCTCTAAGAGTCTCATGAAAACCTTACCGAATGTTTGTGTAAGTAGTCTCTGTTTGGTTCATCTAAAGCTTCGATGTTAAAGTCAATGAGTCTATTGCCTGTCTTAACATTCCTCTTCTCTATTCTCTTCATCTTTCTTTAACCATCTCTCACCTTCTTTTGGTTTGTCGTCAATGGAACGAAGGACATCGTTAGCTTGCGAACTTGTTCTATAGCGCTCTTAAACATCTCTCTTCTCTGTTGTTTCAGTGTGTCGTCTCTTTCTTCTTGTTTCACCAACGTTTGCATTTGTTATGTCAACATTTCTCTTCTTACTTCATGAGGTACTGAACGTCTATGATATAAGTCAATAGCAACGTCATTTAAAGGAAATGCTCTTGCATGGACTTCGTCCTCGCCGCTTGCGGCTTTATGAACTCATGAATTCTATCATAACTTATTGCACCATTATAGTCTTTAATGAAGTCAGCGAGTGCTTTTTTGTTTGTTGCGTAATGCTTTGCAACATCTATGTTAGCTTCTGTAAGAAGTTGTTTTATTTCCGAGTGTTCTAACTTAGACAACTTCCGATACATCTTTAGTAGGAAATAAAAAAATTTCTTAGAAAAAAATTAGCTTAGATTTTTTAAGGCTAGTTTTAAAATATTTCGAACTTTTTATTATAATGAAACACATGCAAGATTGCAAGTTCTTTTCATACAATGCTCTCGCTACTGCCATCAAGAATGAGTTCAATAATGCTGCAAACGTTAATGTTATCTTTAACAAGAAGTTTGTGAAGAGATCTAAGTTCGGTCAGTATGTCAGACCATTAGCTATCGTCATTGACCGCAAACGTTATACTTCACAAGAGTTAGCAGTAGTTTGAAACAAAAGAGTTTCTTCGTGAATGTCAAAGATACTCATTATACTGTTATAAAGAACTCTAACGTTGACTTCTTCAGTATTGCTATGAATCTTTCCGAACAGAAAGAATATAAGAAGGGTGAAACATCTGTGAAATATTATCCTTCATCTCTGAAGACAATAACGAACAAAGATGTCATACAGAAATTCTTACCAAAGGTTGAAGAAGCTTCTATTGACATTGACGAAGGAAGTGAAATAGTTGAAGAAATAGACCCTGAAGCTATTTAAGCAAAAATATATTTTTGTTCATTCTTCCTCTTTGAAGATATCGAAATATTCTGTTATTTTTTCCTTCAGTAATGTTAAGTCTTCTTTGAATGTAAGTATTGTGCAACCTTTGATGTCATAGTGTGTTTGAGGAAGAGTATTTTTGACAATTTCCTTTATTTGCTCATTCGGTGTCATTGAAATCGGTAAGTTTTCACGATAGAACCAGTTTCTGTCAGATTTATATATCTTAGCTAAGTCATAAAAGCTCTTGTTGTTTCTTCTCACTAAATGTAACATAACCATATCTTTATCTTCTTCTTTCTCCAACTCTTCAGTATATATCATATACTTATAACTCTTTTCCTTTCCTTTTGGTACTGAACGCGGTATTCTTTTATGTATGCTTTTGTCTTTGGATTCAATGACTTCATCTTTTGCATGAAGTTTCTTTTCCATCTCTCCACGTTCTGCTTTATATAGTTCATCTAACATCATGAAAATATAACAAGCATAACGAGTTGAAGTCCACATTGCTACAGCGTTTACTAAAAGTCTATGAACATAATAACCTTTCAAACCAGGAGCCAAATTCTTGCGATTTTCATACGGAATCTCTTCCCTCGGTTTTCCGAGGGAAGCAATCATATGAGGAAATTCTTCTAAAAGTTCTTTTGTCTGTTGGTTTTCAAACCAATGATATGCTTGCTTTGTAGAACAAAGAGCATTCATTATACTCTGCATTTGGTACATGTCATCTTTGACCGAACGAATGAGACGTAACTGTTTGTTATACTGTATGTACTCGTATTCTTCATTTATGGCTTCATGAACGATAGCAGTTGTTGTGTTCTCTAATGTTGTCATTGCTGTTCTTACATACAAGATAAAAATTTTTGTTAGAAAAAAATTAGCGTTATTTTCTGACTTTCACAAAAGACCAAAAATAAACGCTTTACATGTATTTTTCAGCAACTTCGTCAAATAATTTTATAGCTTTATCTATCTCATCTACTTCAAACGTTTCTTTACCTTTCATGGGAGCACCATACATTTTCTCAAAAACTTCAAGCAGTTCTGTTTCTGCAGCTCTCATATCATTAACGAACACAACCTTGACTCTATTGACTGTAGAGTCATATCTTTGAGTTATATTATATGTTCTTCCTATCTTATATCTCTTTGTATTGAAGTCCTTCGGTTTCTGAACGATGTAAAGTAAGCCTTCACTCCAACGTTCCGTATCGAATGAACCATAAGTTATGAAGTTATATCCAACAACTGGGTCTAACCATAACAAAACTATTGGTATAAGACTTTTGTCAATGAGATATGCTGTAGTTCCGTAGAATCTTACCGATATCATAAGCTCAGGATTTCTTGTCAAAATTTTCTGAGTTGAAGCATTTCTAACCCAGTGGTTTGTTTTCTTTTCAGATGGTGTTATAATGTCTGACAAAGAATATTTGTTGTATTTCTTTGAGTATCTTACGTTTAAATCACCTATTCTAACCACTTTGGTGTCATTGTCTATCTTTCTAACTGTTTCAAACTCAATGTTTGACATTACTGTCTTTACATACAAGAATAAAAATTTTCTTAGAAAAAATTAGCGTTATTTTTCTAACTAATGAAATTCATGAAATTTGGTCATTTTTCAGCAAAAATAATGTTTAGGGTAGAAGGTTAGATCTAACCTCATTTCTACCCTCATTTCTACCCTCATTATTTATAACCGTTTTACATGGTAAACGTTATGAATTCGTGAGATTCTAAACAGTTTTGTAGCTTCTATTTCTTCGCTGAGGATATCGAATGTTTTAACAATGCCGAAGGTTTCTTTATACTTCTTCTTGACATCAGATAGAAGGAAATCGTCAGCAGTTGGATAGTTTTTGTTCAGAAATTCTAACATGTCCATTTTATCTTCTGCTGGTTTCTCTGCCTCCCTCTTTAAATCTGCATAGTCGTTTCTCATACGTTCTATCTCTTTGACGGAGTAGTTATATTTCCTCATTGCTGCCTTACATTTTGAACATTGCGGCATCGTTTTTGCGTTATACATTGAAATAAAACCAGCTAGAACAACTAAGGCGTCAATGGTTTTCTTTAAATCTGAAGCAGTTGGTTTTATCTGTTCATTCCATACCTTACCTCTTCTATCTTTATCTCTTATCTGCCATACACATTCTGCAACTAATGAAACAAAGTTGTCGTATGTCTTAAACTCCCCAGATTTATATATGTCAGAGATGTTCTTATATACCATGTCGCAATCTTTGTCCATAACTTTATGGTTGCAATGATATCCTAGAAACTCATAGTTTACTTTACGTATGAACTTCTTTATTTCTACTGAGTCAGTTGGTTTCACTTCAATTTCGTCGAATTCAGGAATAGTTAGTTTTTGCTGCTGAATTTCAG